ATAGGCCAAGCAGAGGTGGAACACTCAAGACACTCCGCAATAGCCTCGACCTCCCCTACCTCCAAATTTATACCTGCTACGCAACTCTTTTCCAGATTTATTCTCAAATTAGACACTTTCAAATCCTTTTATTAGCTCCTTTAGGTTTGCTACCTTTTCACTAAGGCCTCCTTCACAAAAAATCATTAGGTCGTCTGCAAACTGAAGGTGGGTGACGGGGACTTGGTGTCTCCCTATTCTCTAACCCCTGATGGCATCTTCGTTGAGCCTTTAGAAGGTGTAGGTTCTCCAAATTTTGTAGGCAACTCTGAAAAAGTGCATGTTCCTTGTGGCCAGGTCATTTATCGTACCATTATTCTTTCGGAAGGGAGATTGGAAAGCTATTTTAGTGCACGTTTGGGAGGGCTAAGCTGGTTCAACTGCTTTGAGACGCTCCGGATAATCTATCTAAAGAGGCTGAAGCAAACAACCCAAAAAATAACTGACTACAGCCAATTAGGGCTCTCCGGATTTTTCACCTAACATAGCATAGCTGTCCATGTAGGGCCCACCTTGGAAAGCCAGAAACCACTGTGCTTAGCCCTTCCAAACAAGCACTGAAATACATATAAAAACTTGTTTGCACACAGTCTTCTCTTAGATATTACTTTCAAATGAAATCTCATCTGGTCTTGTGATTTGATTTTGCTTTTTTTTTTTGTCTTTTCATTTGTCAAATATGTGTATTTTATTTCAGGTTTGATGCAAAAATTGCTGCATCAGTAGCTGAGGAAACTAACCTACCATTTGTTACAGCTGAAAACAAATTTGAAGCTCTGGTTAATTTCTCAACTTAATTATTATTATTATTATTATTATTGTTGTTGTTGTTGTTGTTGTTATTTACCTTTCATGATAAAATTGTTTTGCATGCTCAAAATTTTCATGCTCTACCAGGCTGCACATGATGCTTTTGTTGAAACTAGTGGAGCCCTAAACACGATTTCTGCTTCTCTTATGAAGATTGCAAATGATATACGCTTATTAGGAAGGTACGTGTATTATGAATAATCTTTTACTTATTTGGTATTATCCTTGGAAAATTTATGGTGCTTTTTTTTCAGTGGTCCACGTTGTGGCCTTGGAGAACTTATTCTTCCTGAAAATGAGCCTGGCAGCAGTATCATGCCTGTAAAATCCTTTTCTTGTCCCATACTTCATTTTTCTCCTGTTTTTCTTCTTTAAGAATATGTATTTGTAAATTTTGGTGTTGAGATTATTATTCTTCTACTTTATAATTGAAGGCTGAGTTGTTCTGTTTCAGGGGAAGGTTAATCCTACTCAGTGTGAGGCTCTCACGATGGTTTGTGCTCAGGTAAACCTATAAGCTTTTACAATCCCATTTTTTTTCCTAATCAGATCTTACATTCTTATTCATGCTGGACATTGTAACATATGAACAAATCATTATTAAACAGTTGCTGAGTATTGAACATAATTATCCCTTGCTCAAACCGTGCTAGTTTATTTTTATTTTTTGTTTTATAGGAAATGGTTACTTTCATTGAAGATAATTAAAACACAAATGCAACTGTCAACCACCCAAGTACAAAGGTGCTGACCCCATTGATACAATTTTGAATTACAATACTACCCAAAACAAGTCTAAAAGTTCCTTGCTTTGCCAACATATCAGCTAACCCATTAGCCGACCTTCTAACCCACTTGAAGGAGGCTCTTATCTCCCTTGCTAGCCAATTTATTTCCCTCACAAACTGTCTATAGACCCAGACTCCCAAACTTTGTGACTGCTTCCACCCAATTACTAGCTTAGAATCCCCTTCTACCTCAACTTGATAAAGACCTATCTGCTTAGCCAACCTTAAACCTTGAAGTAGAGTCAAAACTTGTGCTATCAGTGAATCTCCCACTCCTAATTGATCAAAAAAAATCTCCCACTCCTATTGGTCCAGAGAACATAGCAATTAGCCCTGCCGTCTTCATTCCTAAGAACATCACCTATTCCAGACGGGCCCAGGTTGCCTAAAGAGGTCCATCAAAGTTCAGCTTTACGCTTTGCAAAGGAGTCTTCCATACATCCTGAGATCTGGCTTTCAAAGAAGCAGAATTTGCCACTGCACTCCATTACTTGTAAATGCCTGGCATACCTGTGTCAAACATGATACAGGCATTAGATACCATATGGACACAGTATGCTTTCTGGCTTCAACACTTTAAAATATGTTGATGGTATATTTTGACAAATCATCCTACAACAACTCTGTACATCATAAGTTTAATTAAATTTGGCAAGATATAAGTCTTGAGAAATGATACTAGATTTAACCAACTAGATATAAGTATATAGCAGCATAATATAAACATATCAAATTGGATACCAAAACCCATATCTGTGTCCTTGATCCTACAAAATGAAGTGTACTATCCATGATTACATTTTCTATATCCATGTCATGTAGATTGTTATTTATAACATATTTACTGCTGGTTAAAGAAAGACACTTGGAGTTTGTAATATTATCTCTATAGAATATTTTCCTTTGATTGTTTTGATAGATTGCTGATTTGCTAACAGAACTCATTTCTTTGCTTAACCTAGCTAATTGATGTCTTGGCACTTTGCAGGTTATGGGAAACCATGTGGCAATTACAATTGGTGGTTCAAATGGCCATTTTGAACTGAATGTATTCAAGCCACTGATTGCTAGTGGTCTTCTGCGTGTATGTCTTTCTGGTGCACTGCTATTTTTACTTGAAAAGAGATTGTACATATTGAACAATTCAAAGGTGCTTTAGTGTTTAGGAAGTTCTATCTGTTTAGGTTTGAAACACCATGGTGTTTATTACCTCATTAATTGTCAACATGAAAAACATCCAAATGATGTCTGATAACTCCCTTTGGCACCCTAAAACAATATTTAAAAATACGGAGGCATGAGACAGGATGCCAGAATCTTTTGATTGGTGAAGCTTAAGGCTCATGGTTTACTGGTTTCTAAGGAACAAATCAGCTAATCGGATGAAAAGTTTAGTAACTTGCAGAGTACATTTTTATGTAGGAAGAACGATTTCAGTCTTACAAAATTGTTTAATAGCTATTTTGCTGATAAAAAAAATTGTTTAATAGCTATTAAGAGTTCTAAATGTTAAAAAAAATACCTCAACTGGGTTTAAACATGTTAAAGCATGGATGCCAGCAAATGTGTATACATCATTTACATGCATAACACAGAAAAGACATCTCAAGGTTTGAGGAATGTGTTTTATAGTATAGGTGTTAGCGTTGTAAGCTTTTAACTGTCCAGAAACTTAAATAGTTAAAAATGATGATTTTATTTTTTCTGGCTTTTCACCATGTAAAATATCATTTTTCAAAACCAAACATGTTTTGACCACCCTAATTTACCAGTTTATTATGTGTTTTTTGTAATGATATTCAGAATTGTGTTTCCAAAACATGCTAGCATTTTGTTTTTCAATTATCCTAGAATATTTAATGACAAATTTGTCCAAGAGGATGAGTTGCTTAGAAGGTTTACTGCTTTGATTTTCTCTTGGACTTTTGTGTTAGAAATCCTTTTGGGGACATTTTTCCTCATCCTTTTGTTTGAGGGATTTATTTTATGCTTAGATGAATGTCTGGTGCCCTTGCTAGCAGCTTCTGTGTAGTGTGTACGGCTGCTCATAGTATTTGAAGCTTCTCTATTGTATTTTTGGGCTTTTTTTATTAATTAAATACATTTCCTTTAGAGCTGTAAAGTGGGTTGTGCTGTCCATGGGCCACCACGACATGGGCAGTCCCGTGGCTTGGCCCATACCCCTGGGCTGTGCCAGGCTTGGGTTTTGAGGCCCTCAGGTTGGCATGGTACGATCCTCATAGTGGCCCGACATGACCCATATATATATGTATGGTCTATGTATAACTGTATACATATATATATACAATAATTATATAATAATATATTAAAGTATATATGTGTGTGTAAGTTTTTGTTCTCAATTTTATTATACTATTTTGTTCCAATTTTATTGTAACTTTTTTCAATTTCATTTTATTATTTCTTATATAAACAGTTGTATACGTCAAAATTCATATATAAATAAAAGTTTAAGATATTTTTTTAATGTGCTGCCCACATCCCAGCCCAGCACAGGCTTGATTGGGCTTGTGCTGCAGGCTGTGCTGGGCTTCCTTTTTAAGGGGTTCCAGGCCAGGCAGGCACGACCTGCTACATTACGGGCAAACCACATCACACCTCTAATTTCCTTTTCTCAAATAAAATATAAAATTTTCACTAAATAGGAAAAAAGTTATAATCTGATTGTAGATTTCACCATACAACAAAGTAAAACATACACCCAATAGAAGAACAAAATAGACTCAAAAATTGTCGACTATATCCACAGATAACCACAATATATCCCTGCTATCTTCTTTAGTATGCTCTTTAAATTCTGGATTAGCTAAAGGCCAATTGATGATCAATGAAAAAATGTTGGCAACAATGCTTGGCAAAATTTTTGCTTTTTTACCACCTGAAACAATTAGACAGGGAAAAGATCTCCATCAGTTCTGGTTCGGCAAGACAAAAAAACTTGTAGATGTCTGTCCATATGTTGAATTTTAACATTGTAAACCTATAGAACAACTTTATGGAAGATTATTTCTGTGTTACTTGAATAACATTTTGCAGGAAAAAAATGACATCCCATTCATACATTTACTGTTCATTTATGCCAAATAAGCAATGGGAGAAGGAAAAATGTAACATTGATGTGTCCTTCAAGAATTGATATGGTTATGGAGTTGAGCATGGAGACTTTGCATTTAAGATGGCCCATGTAAAACTACTTCATGCTTATTACACAAAATATACATGTTCAGAAGTTGAAAGCTTCTAGATTTGAAATGATCCAAAGTTAAAATGCTATATAAAGCAAGTAAGCATTGTAAATTCTCCATTTGCAGTCACTGAGGTTGCTTGGGGATGCATCTACTTCCTTTGAGAAAAATTGTGTTAGGGGGATACAAGCCAATCGTGAAAGGATTTCAAAGTTACTACATGAGGTATGTATTAAATAATATTGTTTCTATGTCATTATTTTGAATGGAAAGTACAGTAACTGATTGGAATGCTCTGGCATGATTTTATTGGTCTTGCAGTCCCTAATGCTTGTTACTGCTTTGAACCCTGTAAGTTTGCTCACCTTTTTATACCACCTTATTTTTACCTGTAAGCATGTTGTATTCCTTTTTACGCTGACTTTCCTCATCTTCCAGAAAATTGGATATGACAATGCTGCTGCAGTTGCCAAGAAAGCACACAAAGAAGGAACTACTCTGAAGGTGATAACTTATTACCATGTGATGTTGGGATTTTGACATTTAGAATGTGTTTCGTTTGATAGAAATAAGAGAGAAACAGAAGGTTGAAGGAAAGTTCTTAATGAAATTTGTGCTATTCCTTAAGACCTTTCCCCGTTGCTCTCTTATTTTCTATCAAACCAAACATAACTTTAGTGTGCTCTGATCTTATAACTGACTAGGTTCTCTGTTATTGAAATGGTGAGAGTTAACTGTCCTATGATTATGTAATCTGTTATGCAAACCCCTTCTCTTTTCTAGCTTTTAAATCATTACTATTTCCCAAATATTTCAAGTATTTAAAAAATTATGTATCTAACAGCAAAACTATTTGCTTTTTGTGTAAATCACTATCCTGTGAAGACCCTTATCAGTGGGATTAGAGGTGTATCTAGTGGAACTAGAGAAAGAACAATATGATTAACAATAGATGAATTTCAGGATCCATCTTGAGCCAAGAAGAGTGATAAAGCTTGCTGACAGAAAGAACTGAATAGTTGTGGTCAAATGGGGCCTTATCTTTTGATGAAACCTAGACTTGTTGGATGGTTACCATTCACCTACCAATGGTTTTAAGTAGTGTTCCCTTATCAGAATTTATTAGACATGCTCAACTGATTATGAGTGAGTTGTTTCATGAGCTATGCTTTTAGAAGGTAAATCATTTTCTTCCATTTGTAATTTGAACATTACAAACATTCATATTAAAATTTGTTTGGCACAATAGTAAAAGAGGGATTATTGCTTTCTTAAATGGTAAAATCTTGTGGCTGACAAGCAAGAGAACATTAAGTTTGAACAGCAGCTTCTTTGTGCAAAAACAACAACAACAACAACAACAACAACAAACTTTAGGTCCATATCCAAGTCATCCCTCCCAAGGCCCCAGCCCCAAGGTGGCTGGAACCAACATTTGCTAATGGGCCAATGGCCCTTTTTGGTACAATAGTAGAAGGTTGCTATTACCAACCCTCATGCAAGTATGAATGAATTAACAAAAATTCACTGTTATCATACTTTTAGCAAAATTGTTTCAGTAATTTAAACAGGATTGTGTATTTACCAAAATGCTCCAACCTGCCTTTATTTACTTTTAACCAAAGTTGCATATAATATGTCTTAGGTCGGTTTTCCCTTCTGGGCAAATGGGTTGCATCTCTTGATGTCATCTTTGTTATTTCAGTTGTCAGTAAATATCAATCTCAAAAATTCTTATTTTGCAGGATTCTGCAATGAAACTTGGAGTGCTTACTTCTGAAGAATTTGACAAGCTTGTGGTACCCGGAAAGATGATTGGCCCCTCTGACTGACCTTAGAAAGATGTAGGTGCTCTTATGAACTGAGCAATTCCTGAACTTCAGAGCCAATTGCCCCGAAGTTCTATTCTTGCACAACCTCCCATCTCCAATTGTTGGTTGGATGGGGGTGGATATGAAGTGCTTAGAGATGATAAGGTTGTAACATTGATGTATCATGTACGATAAATAACTTGTTTTTTGGTGGTTGATTTTTGGCTCATGCAACCTGTCCTTAGCAGTTGCTTTAGGTTAACAAGGAGACCTCTCTTTCCCCTTTTAGAGTAAACAGCAATTTGGAGGTAAATACATCTGTAGGCTATGGAGAGGGTGAGGGGCCCAAGAAGTCTGGAATTGTGGATGACATTTCCAGAGAGGCTCTCCTCTGAAATAAATATTTTGTTGTGAAAGTAAAGAACCAGTTTTATACTTGTATTATTCGTTAAAAGGAGAAATGCACATTTCTTCCCCTTTCCTTTCTGCAGTACATTACAATTACAACTGAAATACAGCAATTCTATTAAGAACACATTGCTCCCATCTATTGGGCTGTTAGGCCATCTGGAAATCCGGTAACATGGGTTCGGTCTCTCATTTGAAAATCTTTCTTGCTTGGTTAAGACAGTCAACCGCACTCCAGACCTAGTTAATCTTGGTCTGTCATACCCACCCGTTCACCTACTTGGCCTATATGGGTTGCCAACCCATTATCGATATACAATGGCTACATAAATGGGTTTGGTTGCGTGGTTGTATCACAAATTGTAACCTCTGAATAATTGGATTGTACGGAAGCAAAAAATGGATGAATGGTCTTATAACTGGTGGGATATATGTTGTCATGTTGATGCTTGTAGCATTTTCATGGATGGATGTTGTGACCGATGAAGAAAGTTGGTTTAGATTCTGGGCTGCCATTTGCATATGGTGATATAGCCAAGGAAATTACAGATACAGAGTTGTCAATTGCCTGTCAACCGTTCTCATTTGGCTTCTTTCGTCCGTGAGAACGGTGATTGCAGTGTTTGTGGCTGCAAGGAGGGCTGGAGGGGGGGGGAGGGTCCCATCTATAGATAATATAATGTTCCAAGCATCTTCAGATTACAGACATGACTTATAAGAGATAAGCTTGGATGCTTCCACGGCAGTACCGATGGTTGTTAATTAATATCCTACAGTTCATGTAAGATTCGATTCTCATGTAAACTTGAAACAATATGAAAGTCAGTAATTGTAGTAGCATCTCTTCCATTAATGAAAGCTAGTTGGGTCAATTCAAATTGTTTAATGAAATGAGACAAATTGACCATAAGCATCAGATTAAAGAATCCTACTCTTCCCAACCACTTGATCCGATTAGAAAATTTTTCCCATATATGTAAAATGGAATATTATCCAAGCCTTATCCCAACATACATAAAATGGGATATCAAAAGCAAAATTCCCTGTATCTCTTTGTTATGTTGAAACATGCTGGTGGGGCTCTGCTCCTAGGCCACTGGCCTCTTTTCCTTAGAATAACTCATCTGGAGATTGATTGGACCTAGGGGTGCACCAGTGCAAGTTGGGCGGGTTGGGTTTATGGTCAACCCAGATCCAACCCTAAAATTTGGGCTTAATCCCTAAGCTTGGATCAAGCTCGAAGTCAAGCCCGATCTTCCCAACCTGAGCCCAGCTAGGGGTGGCAATGAGTCGAGCTTTTCACGAGCTGCTCAAGTTCGGCTAGTAAAAAGCTTGGCTTAGCTTGGTTTCAACCGAGCTCGAGCTCAATTCTGTGGCTCGATTAATAAACGAGCCGAGCTCAAGCCTACTAGAACTTGTCTCATGAGGCTTGCGAGCCGGCTCGAATATATATAATATATATAATAATATAATAAAATTATAGAAAATAATATATATATATATAATAAAAATATTATAGTTATTAATGATTATAATTCTTAATTTTAAATATAAAATTATTTTATATATATAATTTTTTTTATAAAATATATAGTAAAATTTTTATAAAATATAAAACGAGAAAGCTCGAGCTCGAGCTCAAGCCTTATAGAATAGTCTCGAGCCGAGCTCGAGCCTAGTACTATTCGGCTCGCTCGAATCCACCCCTAAGCCCAGCCAGCATTGTAATTTGATGAATTCGGATTGGACTCAGGCTTGGACTGGGTTTGGGTTGGTCAAAGAACTCATTTTAGTTAGTTAGTTAGGCCAGGATCTGGCTATCTAAGGGGTAGGCTCAACCCTGAAAAATAAAAAGCCCGAGTTCTTAGACCCAAACCTAACCCATGTAAAATTTTGGGGTGATCCGTTCGGGCTCTAACTGGGCACGCCCAAGTCGCACCCCTAATTGGACCATTTTTCCTTACACGGGGTGCTGAGATCAACAAATATGGCGCGTTAGGTGCATGGATGAATATTGGTAGGATAGCAGCCTTGGACCTATTGTCTCCAGGAACGTGTAAACAGCACCATCAGTTAAGGGTGGCGATGAGCTGGCTCTGGATCAGGTCGGATTCATTGGGCTGAGATATAGTGCTGAATCCAAACCTGCAAAATCTTGGAGATACTGGATTAGAGCTGAGTTATGGTCTTCGCAAAATGAAACTGAAGGTGTGGTACACCCAACTCAATTATCAGAATAGAGTTATGATTAGGATATATGCACCCCAGAATTTGCATGGTCCATGGACATCCAAATAAGGGCATGACACGTCACCTACCAATATATGTTGTAGACCTTTAACAGCGATGTTCTAATGACTGGGACCCTTGAATTTGCATGGCATATGACTTAATTTCCAGTTGCATCATTACTCTTTGGCGTAGGTCATCTCACATCTTCAACTGCTAGCTGGTTCAAATGGATTCACTCTATTTCTCTGCGCGCAGAAGATACTTGCTACAATACCAAAGCTTTAAGACAAGGTAAAAGGACAAGAATTTCTCTGGGTACCCAAATTGTTATTATGTCTTTCAAATTTATGGTTTAGTTTGAAAACAGCCGAAGCGGCTAAACTCAATTACTTAATCCATTGTTGTCCTTACTGAACGGATAGGTAGCTATATCTCTAAACAATGTTTTCGAACCACCGTGGATCTGGATGGTTGGACCATTCGGCCTGGGAATCATTTGTCCTTGGTTAAACACCGTTCAATGACCTGTTGATTAGGACGGTCGAACCATCGACCCATTCAACAGTTTTGGCCGTTTTTTATTTTCTTGTCATAATAGGCCATCTTCGAACTGGATGGTTGAACCATTGACCAAAAAACCGGTGGTCATAACGGTTCGAGTTCCAAGTCGTTTTTTAAAACATTGTCTCTAAATATTGTAGTATGTGACTATTTTTGTTAACATAGCAATAACCCTTTCCACTCGGCCACTTCAGCCATTATCAGCTGGTCTTGACTGGATTCTCTCTCTCTCTCTCTCTCTCTCTCTGTGTTTGGTATTTAGGCTGTGTTTGGTTGCAGTGCAAATTTATTTGCACTAATACAAATGCTTGGGAGTGCAAATGTAACAAATGCAAATTCTTGTTTAATTTTGTTCTGGGTTTTACTTTATCCTACTTCATGTCTTAACTTACTTCATTTTGTACAGCAATCAAATAAAATAAGTTAAAATATGAAACAAAAATAGGTCAGAATTTACACTCAAATAATTTGCACTGCAATGGTTTTGCATCAGTGCAAATTTATTTGCATTGCAACCAAATACAGCCTTAGCAACATGCCGGAATCTCCCATAGGGGTCGTTGAGTAATGTAGCACCACACTAATACCCCCTAAAAAATGGGGTTTTTATTGTTCAATCCACCCCACAAATTTTAGTACAATTTGTACGGTTGGAACAGGTGGGAAATGAATCAAAATTCAAGAGGGAGGGGGTAGTGAATTATAGGTGGAAGTGTCCATAAATAACTAGGGATGCAAATGGATCGGATTGGATTCAAATCAGGGTATATTCAAATTCGATTTAACATTGTTCATGTCGGATCCAGTCCGATCGAATCTCATAGGATTTTATTTGAATTCGAATCCTATTAATAAGTCAGATCTTCGGATTTGATTCGATCTTACTTGTTTTCTTTAAAATTAATGAATTATTAAAAGAAAAATAAAATATACTAATTTAAATAAAATTAAAACAAAAAATACAAATATTTTTTAAATTATTTTCATCATAGATATGTTTTTATAATAAAATAAATAATATAATAAATATATAAAATATATTTTAAATAAATAAATGGCATATATATATATATACGTATTACATATATTTATATTTATAAATATATAATACATATCGGGTCAGATCTGGCAAGGGGATCCAAATCCAACCCGGTTTATGATTAGATACTATTATTCGAATATCTGAAAATGGGTTATCCGAATTCGACCAAATAGGATCGGATCATAATGCGATCCATTTGCACCCCCTATTTAAAATAACACTGGAAAAAAATAATAAAAGTCTATGAGGTGGACTGGACTCTAAATTTCTCCAAAAAAAATCAATGGTTGAGATCAAATCTACATTTATACTAGAAATGAACCAGCTAACATACCACCCCTCAATTTCTCTTGATGAAAAATTCTGTCACATCCACAAAAGATCAAAAGCATTAATGGACCATATTGGGGCTATATTAGATCTCTACAGATATCTCTCATACATCGAGTTTTGAGGTTATCACATCTCCAAACTAGCTCCAAATGTGATTGGGGAGAGAGAGAGAGTTTGTATTCCATCATCATCCTTTCTGAGTTCGCTGATTACTGATCTAATGCCTAGAAAAATAAATAAATAAATAAAATAAGAATTTTTATGAGGTAGGATCTAGATACCAGGGTTACAAGTTGGTCCAGGATAGGTTGTCTTGAGGTCAAAACTAATCCAGCTCAGTTATGGACCCCTGGTTAGGATTAGCTTGATTTTTTTTTTTCAAAATTTTTAAATATTCTTATTTTTTAAACTTGAGATTACTAGATCAAATTAAGACAAACTTTCCTCAGCATGGTTATATCATTATATGTACAACGACAAGCTATAGCTCTTTGGGAGTACTATACATGTGCCATAATAAAAAATTTTCCCTTTAAACTTAAAATTGTTCTTACATGGATAATAGATTCATGGACACATAGCTGGATGCATAATGCTTTTATAATATATATATATATATATGTATGTATATATATATATATATATATATATATATATATATATGAAGAGATATTGGGTTTGGCTTAGGTCGAGTTGCACAAGACCTCAACCCTAATCCAATTTAAGCCAAGTTCATATTCTTCGACCCCAACTCTAATACAAACTTCATCAAACCCCAACTCAATCCAACTTTTTCAGGTTTTAATTAGGATTAATCCAGCCGAAGTTCAAGTTGTTAATAGACTTGTTCATGGGCTAGGTAGCCCGATGGCCCGGCCCGCACTCCGATCGGGCTTGGTCATGTAATTAGGCCCGCGGGCCTGACCTCGGGCCTAACACAGTAAGCCCGATTATGTTACGGGTTAGGCTCGGGATTTATCAAAAAAGCCCGACCCAAGCCCGGCCTGGCCCGACTCATCATTATATATTTTATAAAATACATAATATGTATTTTATATATTATATAAAATATATAAATAATATAATATTTATTAAATAAATATATATATATTTATAATTTAATATATACATTTTTTATTTTTTTTCTTTATAATTTCTTTCTCACTCTCTCTCTCTCTCTATTCAACCGCTTCAGTAGTAGTAACAACATGGGTTAAATTTCGGACTCGGGCCCAGGCCTGGGCTTCAGGCTTTTTATAAAGGCCGGGCTCGAACTCGGTCATTAAAAAAATTTGTTAATACAGAGTGAAAACTTGACCCGAACCCACCCCGCCCCGTGCCCGCCCCGGCCCATAAACAGGTCTAGTTGTTAAGGACGTAAAGGGGGTAATGACTAACAGTCCTAAAAAAAGGACTAACAATCATAGAATGTTCAAATAGACTAATAATATGAAGCAGTTTCCTTCCAAGCAAATGTAAGAAAGGTTGAGATCTTTGGCCATTTTAAGATCAGCTATAAAAGCCCTTGACTCTTACTTCAGGATCTGCGATTTCAGTATTGATAGCTCTGCCGTAACAGCGTACATTTCAAGAAACAAATATTACTAATTTATTAGAACCCTATTATTAATTTATTACACTTCCATTCAATTTATCACAAGTGTTCCCTTTTGGCAACACCACGCAAGGAAGGTTTTCATTGGGCCTAGGAGTTCTTACAAGTTTCAACTTTCACCCATTTAAAAATTGTCGGATAAGGCCTAAGGAGGGAAGGAAACTTCTTTGCCACGTGGCAAAAGGTTTGATGGATCGTCAACATCTCTTCGTCCTGTATGTATATGGTAATGGTAGGACGCCCACCTCAAATGCCATGTAACATGGAAAAATGGAAGTCAACCCTCACCGGATTTTGCTAGTTTTGGTCCATCCATTTCAACCCGATTCTCTCTTACTCTAGATTTCTGGTTACACTGTTGGTTTTACTCTCTAGTCTCTACTCATGGGCACTCGCTCGCACCGACCCAAAATGCGATTGCGATGCGGTGACCCGATAACCAAACCGACGAGTGAACCCGTTTCAAATATTATACAATTGTCACTTGTCAGTGGTGGACCTGACCACTTGGTCCGTAATCCGTATCATCCATACCTGATTTGATTGGGTATTTTGGTTGTAGTAGGCGCACGGCACGCGGGGTGTCTTCCGATGCTAAACGTGCGCATCCTGTCTCAATGGTATAATTATAAACGGATTTTTCTTCTGGGCAGTAAATTCTAGACTCTTGAGTCCAGCTCCAACGTACTTACTGGTAGTAGTCGAAATTACTGTAATATCTCCGCTCAGGTAGCTTATTAACTTCCGTTGGTTAAACCACATGATGGGGTTATGGGCTCTATTGAGGGGTATTCTAGTCATTTGGATAGGACGTTATCGTCAATTTTTAAAAGACATGGATACTTCCGTAATTTACTTACTCTCACTGTTACAGCAAGTAATTCTCGTCATTGGGTTTCATTCACCTATGAAGAAAGGAAGAAAGCCTCTCCCACTCGAATCCATTTTCTCTGTATGCAACAGGCGATATTCTGGTCTTAGCTTCAAGCCACCTTTTGTATTGGCTTCTTTAAATCCTACATTTCTTTAATTTTCAATTGTCGATTTTTAGCTAACTTTAATATTTATATTGATTTCGATGAAAACCTCTTAATTTATTCATGTTAACGCGCTAAAGATCGACAGCAGATGTTTCTCCACCCACCCAAGATCTTCGGTTTTATTATATATTCTTGAAGATTTGGTCTCTCTTGGGGATTCTTAGAAACTAATGGCGACGGCGACAATGGCTACTGCCGTCGGTGCGGCGATGCTTCTGTATTATGTGTTGAGTCGGAGATTGTCGCCGAAGGATGGGGAAGAGGATAGGAGCGGAGACTTTTCGAAATCGAGTCGATCAGGGAGGAGAAGAATCTCTCGGCGGCCTGCCCAAGCGCCTGCTACGTGGTTTGAAGCGATCACTACGTTATCGGAGACACTTAGATTTACGTATTCGGAAACCCTAGGCAAATGGCCGATTGGGGACTTGGCTTTCGGCATAAATTATCTCATGCGGCGGCAAGTAAGCACGCCCTTTTGCAATTTCTTGTCTTTGGACTGCTTAATTACGATTGCATCCGCGAGTTCTGCCCGTTGATTTTACGGGATCTCTTTGGAAGTTCAAACCCACCTCCCCACCTCTGTATGCCTGTATCTAGAAATTATGTGTTATTTCTTGAAGTCTTTCTGGTTTTTGTATGGTACCATGTCTGGAATATGATTCCGTATTCTTATGGAGACATTTGAAATTACTTGTTTAAATTCCCAAAAGGGAAAGAAGTGCCGAAAATGACTCGTGGGTCGTGGCTTTGGATTTTGGTTGGGTCATAATTCTTGAAGAATCCACCTTTTAAGGCCCTAAACTTAGAACATTGGTGCATTCTAATTTCCGGTACCCACTAGGCATGTTGGTCCAGGTGTTTTAAGATCTTCGTCTTATGTTTGACATATATACTGCATCCGGCTTATGGGGCTATATACTCTTTATATTTAATACTTTGGACTTGCATAAGCTGGTCTAATGACAAAGCCTATATGCAATTTGAGATGTTCTGGATATATTGTATGAGGGATCGGCTTCAGTCAATGTAAGGCCTGTTCGAGCCTTTACAGCCTTGCATCGGGAACATCTCCATACTTCTATGCTTTATTTCATTGGGACATATTCCCAATGCAAGACTATGATGGTTGTTTGAATGGACTTTGCACTGATTGAATCCCATTTCATTGTATGATGTTGCAGGGTGACATACATGTTGCAAGTGTGTATGCTGGAAGCAATTCTCTACAGCTTAAAGGTCCTGAAATTCTGGTTGAACTGACCTATCTTCTCAGATTGTTGACATTTTGCATGCTTTTTTCAAAGAAGCCATTTCCAGTATTTTTGGAGTCTGCTGGTTACTCCCAAGAAGATGTTCTTCTTCAAGAACCCAAGGCAGGGGTAAGTAATAACCTAGACACTTTATTTGCACTCCTGAAATTCAAGGGATCTCTGATGTTCCTATTAGTTCTTAGTAAAGAGAAAACTACCACTTCACAGATTCTGGCATTGTGCTGTAACTCACACAGTCTGTTGATGCAATAATGTGCAGCTTCTGAAGCCTGCTTTCACAATTCTACGTGATAGAAGTTCAAAATGCTTCTTGCTATTAATTCGGGGAACTCATAGCATTAAGGACACACTAACAGCAGCAACTGGGGCTGTGGTCCCTTTTCACCATTCAATTTTACACGAAGGCGGTGTCAGTAATTTAGTTTTAGGTTATGCACACTGTGGGATGGTTGCTGCAGCTCGTTGGATTGCAAAACTCAGTACCCCTTGCCTTCTTAAGGCACTTGGTGATTATCCTGACTACAAAGTCAAGGTATATATTGCATCTTTGGTCTAAGGGAGCACTATAATATCTACGTTCATTTCCAGTTTTTCTCACTTTTTGACATCATCTTGGAATCAATGGAGAATGCCTTTTCACCTTAATGATGAGTTGTGATCGACCTCTTAAATTTGAAAAGATTACTGCAAAAAAGATGTTCTGATTTTCACTGTTTTTACTCTTCAGTTCCTGCCAAATGGGGATTCTCCATGAAGTGTTTAGGGGCTTATAATGTAAATGATGTGTATTGATTTGATTAGGCTGTGATTGTAAGGCCAATTAAGATGTTCTGGTAGTGAATATCCACTGATTTAACTCATAACTTACTAGGTATGTCTTTATACTGGTCATAAAAATGAAAAAAAAAAACTTACTAGATGCATATAATTTATTAGTTTGGTTGAGTTGAATCACTTCTATGGCATGCCATTGCTTTATGGATTTGGTTTAATGTGTGTAACTATTTATAATTTTGCAGGCTCTGTGCCTCTGCCACTGGAATGATAACTAATATACAGAATTTACAGTGCAAATGAGGGCAGAGTGCACTGTATTGTGCCAAAGTGCAATATTTTAAGAAAATGATAAAGAATTAAGAACAAGTATCGAAATAGTGGAATGTAGAAAGGAGATGCATATGTTTTTTTTCCATCTACATTGATCATAACACATAGAATTTCAGTTTCTTTGCTCAAAAAACTTTATCATATTAAGAAAGGATGAACAAAAGCATGCTTGTAAAACTTCAGTTGATAGATACACATATAACCATAAGTCCATAAGTTAGTCTAAGAAAAGAGATCGTGTCCAGTAGTAGATTAAATCCTTATTAGGGTGGATGAGAAAGTTGACTTGTCTCAACTATCAACCAGCTTGGAAATTAGAGCAGGTTTATGGAAATGTCTTTGTTAAATTTAAACCTCATTTTTACAAATTGGATCTATTAGATTCATAGCTTACTTATCTTTTTTCTTTTTTGATCAGTAGAGTCAGATCTTACTAATTGAGCCTATAGAAGAAAGTGGTAGTAACTAAAAGAATTTAGTTAATGTGAAATTTGGAGGTCATTTTAATTCTATCTTTCCATTTTCAGACTGATGAATGGAAGCACTTTTCCAGGACTGGGAAGTGCAGGGTCACTATTGCTAAAGCCTGCTGTTGCCAAAGAATTCATGTGAAATACTTGAGGTAGAAAACATGTAATTTTTTGATAAATGATGACAATTTTATTATATCATAAATAGGTTTGAGATTGAAAGCTCATACAACCCTCAGAGAGGCGTGAGCTGCAGCTTCCCCCAACAAGATACAAGGAAAATAAAAAGCAACATAGATCACAATTGAGCCCAGAAAAGGTCTTGCTTGGCTAACACATCTGTCAAAGCATTTTCTGATCTCCCCACCCACTGTATAGAAGTAGACATATTCCTTACCAGCCTTTTGAACTACTTGATTTCATTTTTGTAACACCAAACAGCATTCTGGGGGTTATTCATCCAGCCCACCACTACCTTTGAGTCCCCTTCAATAATCAATTGCTCTACACCCATCTGGTTTTCAAAAAGAACCCCTTGTACAGCAGCTAATAATTCTGCCCTAACAGAATCTCCATGTCCCAGAGGACCCGAGTACAGAAGGATTACCCCTCCATAACCCCCCCCCCCCCCTGCCCAGGTGGATTGCCTAGGCTGCTCTCATCAAAGTTAAGCTTCACAGATCCTGCAGACAGGGGAAGCCACCTCACAGCTGCCCTGATCTTTAGTGGAGGAGCAACTTGCTATTGATAACTAGTTTCTCCAAAGGTCACTAAAGGAGAATTGCTGAAAGAGCTCCGTGGTTTTTAGCTAGTGTAGCCCTATTCAGAACACAATCCTTCAACTCTAGGATGCTCCTCTCCTCCTTTTCTTGGAAAAATTTGGCATTTCTTTCCTCCCATAAGATCCATAGCAAAGCTGCATGAGAACATCTCCGCATAATTCTCCCTCTTTTGGGCCAAGAGAAGGTAGAGTGGTAAAAAATCATGCATACATAAGTTGGTAGATTCCAACTACACCCAAAACAATGAGAGAAGCCAAACCCACAACTCTTCCGAAAGTGGATAGGAAATCAATAAGTGATAGCAATCCTCCCCATGGGCTCTATAGAGAACACATCAGTTGGGAGAAATACACGAGAGAGGTCTTCTCTTTTGTAGGTTATCTAAAGTGTTTAATTTCCCAAGGTACACTTTCCAACAAAAAGCCATGATCTTTGGAGGAGTCCGCCTACACCAAACTTCCTTGTAGGGGAGCAACTGATGACTCGGAGAAAGGCAAAGAGACCTAAATTAAGAGGCACAAGTAAAGGTCCCTTTGGGCCTCAGAGCCCACACCCTCTTATTTGACTAAGTTGGGTCCAAAACAAAGCTGATTGACGAGGGAGAGAAAATTAGACAAAGAATCAATTTCAATATCCCTTAACCTTCTATGAAAGCCACAATCCCAATTCAAAGCCAAAGGGGTTCCTGACGTTGAAACAAATTTTGATACCCATTCGTTTTTATAAAGAGAAACAGAATATAACAAGGGGAAAAAGGTCTTTTAAGGGGTTGTTTCCCACCTAAGCATCCTCCCAAAAGCGAATAGAGTTACTAGAACAAACCTCATACCTAATATATTTGAGAAATTGAGGAAGAGTGTTGTGAATGGCCTTCCAAGGTGCTACCAAATTAGCCCGTCTTGATACACCCAACATTCCACCCATTCTTTGAACTGCCATGGGATACTTTCCACCACCATGCCATAACCTCTCTCTTTCTCTCTCTCTCCAATGTTCAGTGCCAAAGCCATTTTCCTAGCAATGCTATTTTTTTTTTCAACCACCCTTCCTAGGCCCAATCCACCCTCTTTGCTTATGCACACAATTTCCCACCTAGCTAAGTGATCGTTTTTGTCTTGTCCCAGTTCCCGTGGGGAATATCTCATTAATTTCTCTAGCTTCTTTGCTTCCCTAGGTGGCACCCTAAAGACAAACAAGAAATAAGTGGGTAAGTTCGCCAAAGTAGCCTTTATTAAAGTGATCCTACCCCCAAAGAGATGCAGTTCTTCCAAGAGGCTAGTTTCTTCTCAAACTTTTCCACCATTGGAGTCCAAAAGTTACTCTCCCTAGGATTTTCCCCTAACGGAAGACCTAAATAGGACATAGGCCAAGAAGAGACGGAGCAATCTAGACACTCTGCAATAGCCTTAATCTCCCTCACCTCCAAGTTGATACCTGCTATGCAACTTAATGCAGGAGTTGAAGAATCAAATATGGAATTTTCTTAATTTTTTTGTATATTTGGATAGTATGGGTATTTTCGTCATTTTAACTTATCTTTCAATTTTCAATTTATTTGCATTAGTAGATAGAAAGTTATTGTGTTTCTTGATGCACAAGACAATGAGTGGCATTTTTGTAATTATGGTGAACAGTATTCCGGGCCACAAGTCACTCTATATAAATAGATGTATTCTCTTCCTCTTGAAGCTAATGAATGAATGAAGATTTCTTAAGAGCTCTCTTGCTATATAGAGTGATTCCTACAAGCCCTAGAGTGATTCTAGGACCCCTTAGAGTGATTCCTTGGGATTTCTCTCTCTTTTCTCTTTCTCTACCTTTTCTACTCTCTCTTCCTCTCTCGTTTATGTTTTCTGATAGTTTGTTCTAGCCTCACTGCATCGGTTTTGGTATCAGAGCTAATGGTTAGTCACCATGTTCCACAAAGTGACCAATTCTATGAGCCTAGGGTATCATTTAAACAATCTCATGGGCCTAGAATCAATGATGATAGGGTTTTTGAACCATATGAAGGGTCTATGGTTGATTTACTTGATAAATTGGTGGAAGAAAGTTGATCTAGTAATGTGGCTATAGGAGTAAGGTTTTCAAGAATGTTAGAAGAGAAAGGGAAGTGCCTAATTTCAAAGGAGATGAAGACAGACAAGCATTATTTGATTGGATTGCTATACTAGATGAACATTTAGATTGGCGTGATATGTCTGAAAAACAAAGATTTAGATTTGCACGCATGAAGCTCGCGGGTATTGCTGAAGTATGGCGGAGAACTCTTAAGCAACGACTAGAAAATAGAGGTGAATATCCTATTATCACATGGGCAAAGATGAAGATATATTTGCAAGAAAAGTACATTCCACAATACTTCCATGATGATCTATATGTGGAGCTGACTAATCTCAAGCAAAGTAATGCAATCTGTAGTTCAATATATGCATAAGTTTGATGAATTATATATTAGATGTGACATTACGGAAAGTGAAAGGCACAAATCAGTTCATTTCATGAATGGACTAAGGGGTGATATCAAGAATGAATTGTCTATAATTTAGATTTATGACTTAGATCATGCCTTTGAATTGGCTCTTAAGATAGAGAAAAGCAGTTGATTACAACAAAGAATTTGAAGCCAATGAGAAGAAAGTACAAAGTTGAAGATAAAGAAGATGATTTCTTGCATGTCGATGCCCATCCTAGAGATAGAGTTGCGAATTCATTCTTGATATCACCCCTTAGTCCATTCATGAAATGAACTGATTTGTGCCTTTCACTTTCTGTAATGTCACATCTAATATATAATTCATCAAACTTATGCATATATTGAACTACAGATTGCATTACTTTGCTTGAGATTAGTCAGCTCCACATATAGATCATCATGGAAGTATTGTGGAATGTACTTTTCTTGCAAATATATCTTCATCTTTGCCCATGTGATAATAGGATATTCACCTCTATTTTCTAGTCGTTGCTTAAGAGTTCTCCGCCATACTTCAGCAATACCCGCGAGCTTCATGCGTGCAAATCTAAATCTTTGTTTTTCAGACATATCGTGCCAATCTAAATGTTCGTCTAGTATAGCAATCCAATCAAATAATGCTTGTAGCCCTACTAAACTAGAGGAACAAGATGTTGTAGCCCAAGTCCCATGGGACTAGTTAAAATGACGAAAATACCCATATTATCCAAAAATACAAAAAAATTAAGAAAATTCAATATTTGATTATTCAGCTCTTGCATTACCTATGCCTAGACTTCTGCCTTCAGCTGATCTCTCTCAAAAGCACTTCTTCAAGATCCCTTTTTAGTAGTCTTCTCGTTTCTCTATCATTTTTAGACAATATAAGCTTGGATTCCTTCTCGTCCAAATCTTCTATCCGAGTGATCGAACTCATCTTCTGTTCCTCCAATCTCCCAAAGTGATCCCTATTCCACTCTTGATCTTAATCTCTTTACTCCCCCTCCCAATTTCCTTTCCTTAGCACTCTTTCACCTTATTCACAAAATCCCGATGGGTTAGCCACATATTTTTGAACCTAAACGGTCTAGTTCCAGTGACAAAGGATTTTGAACCTAATTTGATGGGACAATGATCAGAGGTAACCCTAGGCAAATTTCTAGATACCAAGGATTCCCAAGGCCTCTCCCAAGTTGTGTTGAATAGGAAACTATCCAATTTGGAACAAAGAGGAGATGCTTGGAAATTGGACCAAGTAAATTTAGCTTGCAAAAGTGTAATTTCCTTCAACTCACAATCCTCAATAAAGCCATTAAACTTTCTCATGTTGGTTGTGATTATTCGATGAGGGTTGTTAGTCTATTCTGAAAATCTAATTATTACATTAAAATCCCCTCCAAAACACCACGGAACATTCCAAAGCCCTTGGATTGCATAAAGCTCCTCCCACAACTCATTCCCTTCTCTTTAAGAGTTAGGTTCATAGACATTGGTTAGAACCCATACAAAGCCATTCTCCACGTTCTTGAACTTGATTGAGACTGTAAATCTGCCTATCAATTCCTCCATGCTTCTACAATTTCCTCTTTCTAGAGTGTGACAATTCCCCCCAAAGCTCCCCAAGGGGGAGTTGAAGTCCAACCTACTCCCCTAAATTTCCTACACGGATGGGTGAAACTAGCCAATGTTCTAAAATACAGTGGCATGAAATCCTGAGGCGTGAGGCTTGATTCAGAACGCAAGAGGTGTAAGCCTCCTTAAGAAGAGGAAGAAGGCATAAGAGAAGTGCTACAAAGGCATATGTCTCCGTACGCTCCTTTGTACTAGAGGCATATTCTCGTGTATGCATGCCTCCACCATGTGCTCGAGGTTTTTCTCCCACACCTTGCCTAGAAGCGTGCCGCGGGGTGTAAGCCTCTTGTGCCTTTTTTTTTTGATAAATAAAAAGCCTCCTGTGCCTTTTAAAACATTGAAACCAACTTAACCATACAAGATATTTATGTTGTGCCAAAAGCAACTGACATGGTGTTTTTTGAAAATGGATGTGGCATCATGATTCAGAGTCATGGAATGCATAATTGTTTTATCCCATATGGTTGGGATATGGCCTTATTGAGTTGAACTTAAATATGTCTTCTTGTAAAACAGAAAAGGAAGATTACAAAAGTGTTCTTTCAGAAATGCCCTATGTTCACTTGCTTTAATTTATTCAGTGAATCAAGTTGCAACCTCTTCTGTGAATATACTTGTTTCCTATTATAGTTATTCTTTTCTGTAATTATAATGCACAATTCCTCATCAAGAATTTCTAATATGTATTTCCAAAAAGTACTAGGGTAGTTTATGAAAATGGTAATAATGGCTTTTTTATAAATTTAACTTTTAGATTGTTGGGCATTCACTGGGTGGTGGAACAGCTGCACTCTTAACATATATTCTTCGAGAACGTAAAGAAATATTTTCAGGCACTTGTGTAACATTTGCTCCAGGCAAGTATCAACCAAATGTTGTGTTTGTATTTATGGGCCAATTACATGTAACTTTTTTGTTTGCTAGGCAGGTATATATAACATGATGATCAGGTGTGTTTTTCCTGTTTGTTGCATTTGGTGTTACAATCATTAAATGGTCTATTTCAGGATCAGAAGTTTAGTTTTTAATAGTAGTCCTGATATTGGATTAAACATGGCTAGAAGTAATTATTTCTTTTCATTTCATGTGTCACTAAGAACTATTAAGTATCAACTAAATTATCAACTAGTAATGACGATGTAAATGCTGAAATAGGAAGCATTTTATCTTCATTTGTACAAGAAGTGATCTCTTCTTTGTTTTGACTTGTTATAGTTCTACGGTTAATATTCTTCTGAATGCTTTGAAGTCACTCAATAATTTTCTAAATGGTTTGAAGTAGCTTAAGAACCTTCTATTATCTTTCTTGAAATTATGGTGCAGATTTCTTAAACTTTTTAGTGCAAACCCATATAAAGGGAAAGAAGCCAAGGAAGAAGATACCAAGGTTTTTTATATTCTTGTACCAATGGCAGCTTTGTTATTTTTGTTGATCTGGATTTTGGTATTTTTTTGGTCTTTTCAAATTCATTTTCTAGTGTATTGGTATTGCAAGAAGAGGTTTTAGTCATTTTTAAGGGTCAAAATAGCTTAAAGAGTCTAATTAGAGTACTTCGAGAATTTTGGTATATTGAAGATGCAACCATGTAACTTTTAATTGAGCATAATCTTCACATTTTCAAAACTTGTCCATTTTGCATGAATTTGGGACCAATCTATTGTAAATGTAATGTTTTTTTTTCCTCATTGTAAATCCAATGTATTTTTGATAGAAAGTTATGTCCATTTTATTAATAGGGTGTTACTTGTTTAGTAATTTGAATTTTCCCTTGGTTTTTCTTGGAGTTATTTCTTTTTTTTTTGTTTGTTTAGTAGTAGTGGGTATTTAAAGTAATTTAAGGGTTGGTATTCATATTTGAAGGCCTTTATGGGTTTATCCATGGGTTTTTCTTAGTTATAAAGTATCTAGGAGCTTCTTTTGGTCAACTTCCTCGTTGACTTGAGCCCTTATGCCAAGTCTCAATTTTTTTTTTTTTTGGTTGCTAACATAACTTTATTGATTAGAACAAAGAAGGAATGATATTTACAAAGATGCCAAACATCCCCAACTTTAGGCCACCCAAGGTGTTAACCCTAATTTCTTTTTGCCATTGAATTTACTTAGCCCCTTCACCATTCAATTTACATCCTAGGACCTTTCTCCTTCCTGTCCTACATTAGTTTCATATCAAAGATGGCCTACATCATGTGTTTTATGAAAAAGGAAAGGCTTGATAGAAACCTAATGCATTTGAGAAATCATGATAAAAGGTGTTAGTGTTTTATGCATGCATCGTGTGTATGTGGGTGTGGTGCATTGCAGAAGGGACCATGCAAAGAAGCATATCCTATGTTCTTTTATTTTTTGAGCAAAATTAACTGTGAATTTATTCACTCAAAAGGTACATAAGAAAATGTACAGAAACCAGAAAAGGCTGAGGCAGAATTACAAAGGCAAAGTTCTTTCACTAAACAAATTTTCTCTATAAGCCCGTGATTTAGCTAGGCTGTCAGCTACAGTGTTTAGCTCCCTAGGAATCTGAAACAGCTTCACATTCATTGAGTCCAAGATATCTCTAGCTTCAGCCAACAATTGTGCTAGCTTCCAAGGCCCTCCTTCCCATAGTTTTCAAGGCGTCTAGGCGATTCTGGGCGACACTGGGGCACCTAGCTGCCTAGTCACCTAGGTGATAAAAATTTTTTAATATAAAAATCTGACTTTTGGCTAGTTTCCTAGTTTTATATACCATTCAGCATGGTGTTAATTGAAAAAATAGTAATTCTCTTTATTAAGAACATTAAATTTCCTCTAAAAATGTGGCAAATCATCACATCTAAAAGATAAAAATCTTTTACAT